GCTCCGAACGCTCATTTGTTCGGTGATGCTCTTATCCCAATTAAGCCACTCAAAACTTTTCAAGTTCATGAGTCATTTGCTTCAAATATCTTTAAATCAAGGACGGATTCACTTCCCTGGTAGCAAACACCCAGCAAGTTAATTGAAAAAGGCTCAGCATTTAAACCACCTTTGCAGCTTTAAATGCAGGGGGTGGGGGTAGGGGGGCACTGCTCTCCCTCCCAGTCCAATCCTGGCACTTAGAAAATGTTTCGTCCTCATGAGACTAGCTCCCAAGGTTGTTCCACTGTTTAGGTCAGGTGACCAATGGAGCGAGAGAAGGTGACACCAGCCTGTCCCTGGTGCTTACTGAGGGAGGCAACTGAAGGACACTGGAGGCCCCCTGGTGACAAGGACAAAGCAACTTGGAAATCATCCTTGGAAACGCATGAGTGAATTGCAATGTAAAAATTACCAGGCAGGACTGCGATGACATCTGAGCCATCGTATCCTTGAGCTGCTGGGTGTCACCAATGCATGATTGATGCAAATGGGAACAAACCCTGAATGACAATGAGGATCTACCTAAAGGGTTTCTTGGTCCCTCCTGGGTGATGCACATTCAGACAGTTATGACCATGGACAGCTGAAGAACGCACCAGAGGTATCTGAACAGGTAGGAGAGTCTCGGGGCCCAGGTTCTGGCAGGCAGGGTCTATGCACGTCACGTGCAGAAAACTCGCTGAGCACTTGCTGTGTGCCACGTGCACACGGCCCAGGAGACCCCGCAGCGGGCAGACGCAGCCACGGAAAGCAGCTGGCTTCAATTCCTCACAGCTCCCTTTACGAGTTTTAAGACAAAAGCCCAGGAAGTGAGTGTCTATTTTTCTCTCCCGGGAGACTTTGTGCTTCCAGACTCAGAACACGACCAGCAAGAGAGCTGTCACAGGAGGATGGCGCTTCGCTCTGGGGAGCATTCCTCTCTCGACCCACAGTGAACTTCTGACAAACCCTCTGACACACAGTGTAAGGTTGGGGCTCAATGTCTCGGTGAGCCTCAGTTAGGTGATTTTTCATCCCAAGCGGTTCCTGGCCAGTGCCGTGTAACCTCTGCAAGGAGCACCAACATCAGGGATGGGGACAGGAGACCTCATCAAATGACCTCATCAAATAACTTCACAATGGAGCAGCAAATGGAGCAGTAAGCTGGTGACAGCAAATCATCAAGGACAAGAGCCTCACTGTCATCGTTATCACCATCATCACCATCGCCACCACCACCACCACCACCACCATCTCCACCACCACCATCACCACCACCACCACCACCACC